TATTATTATTTATATAAAATTAAAAATAGATAAATTTAAAAATACAATTATTTATACAAAATACATGAATTGACTGAATTAATTATATTTATATTATACTTTTAATAATTGAATAAAAAATGTATCAAAAAATATGTTAAATTAAGTGTGTACCAATCATTTTCCTAATTTTAAGATGTTATGATTTTCCGCTTAAAATTAATAAAACTCTCTTAATTTTTTGTTTATTTGGTTTCTCTGTATACCACTCTATTGGCCCATCCTCTATATTTCTCTTTGTTTAAAAAATAATGGGGTTTTTTTTCTAACATTTATTTGCAACAAGTTTAGAATATTGTACAAATTAAAGTAAAAAAATGATATTAATAAAGAAAAAGATGAATTTAAGTACGTGGTTGATAAATTCAAAATTTTAATATAGATTTATAATAAGAAATTATATTTATTATATTCTTAATTTATTGAGTATAATTTAAAAAAATCCAAAATTAAATATATATATATATATATATAAAAAAGGCAAAATTATTGCGCGGGAAGATGACCCAACATGAGATGGACGTTGGAATTATTATGGCCGTTGAGTTAAAAAACCGCCTTGAACACGCATAAAAGCACCCCTAGTCTTCCAAGTTGCGAACTCTCTTCTCCTCCGGCTGGACACAACCAGTGTCGCCGACGTCTCCAAGTTTTCTCGCCAAGCATTAAGGTTAGGTTTATACCTGTTTCAATTTTAGGGCTTAAGCACTTTACGCTTTTTGCTCCGCCCACTCTCTAGAGTAGGATTCCCACTCCCTCTCCGAAGCTGGAGTGGCTGCCACTGACGACGGTGGTTTTTGCCGGCCCCCTCCCGGAATATTCATCTGTCGTCACAATCCTTGGTCAGCCCACCTCTACCACTGTTCTCACTTTTGTTGGTCTTTCCCTTTTCAACCCTGAATTGTAAATCCTCAAATATCCCAAATTCCAAAAAATAGAAACCCACTTCCCATCATCATCCCCTCTCCACCAGATCTCATAATCGAAGCCGCGAACTCGAAACCCAAATCACTCAAATCTACTGCCCTAACACAAAGATACCAAATTCCAAAAACCTAAAAACCCACTACCCACATCACCTTCACTCCACCAGATTTCAAATCTCCTAATGGAAGGCGCAAACTCGAAATCCATATCAACCTGAACCTACTGCCGTAACCGGCGTCCGATCGAGAGGGATGACCCTCCACCACTGTCTTTGGTTTGGTACAGGGCCTTTTAGGAATTTCTTGTCTGTGTTTCGTTACATTTAATTAATCTCTTCGTGGTTCTTTGATTTTGTTTGGGACTTACAAGGTTTTGGCATGGGGATTGAGCTGTGCTGGTGGTTGACAGCAACAAGATTGGCAACATGAAATCAGCTGTGGACTTTACTAGCATGTGATTGCGTTTTTAGAGTTTTAGATGATTCCAATTAGTCTTACAGTGAATTCAAGATTTATTTGTGCTATAGGATACCCAAAAAAGACACAATGCACATGTGGCTAAGATACAAATTAAACTTGAATATCTGTTGCTATGATCAATATTATTTCTGTTTCACCTACAGTAACCATTTGTTTCCTACTGAAACTTAAAAGGGCTTGAGAAACTTTGCTATGGCACGTGGTTAATTGTGTCTGTGCTAATTAAGTTATCATCTGGATGCGTATTTTCCTTTTTTATTCATCTGGATGCGTATTTTCCTTTTTTTGTTCCATTTGATCTGATGGTTTGTTTACAATTTTTAGGGTCTAATACCATTTACAATGTATGCTCTTAAACTCTGCATAGAAAACTTTGCCGCGCAGTGCACTTGACAAGAGTTATGCATCCAATTCTATTGCTCTTTCACAAGTGCAACATTCATTATTCCCTTTGCTTTTTTGGTTTTTTTTTTTTTTTTT